TCCACTGATTGGTGTGTCCTAAGCGCAGGTGATTACTATTTAACAAATTTTCAGAATTGCCCTAATCTCTATTCAAATGTGCAGAATCTTGTGGCTAAAAACATGGACAACTAAAAGTCTGTAAAAGACTCTTTACACGTATGCCTTTTCAAGGAAGACGTCTATTTGGGGAGGCACTTGATCAATAAAAGATGTCATAGGAGGGAAACCTTTACTTCCACTCTACTTCACGTTACCCAAGCTTCAAATTTCAAATCTAAATTCAGCCCTTCCTTTTGGTGCAAGAACCACAAAGCCCAGCAAGTCTTCCCAAACCCCCTCACCCCAAATAAAGGGTGCCCTCCTAAGAAGAGTGGGAGGACTCATCGGTTACAGTTTTCCTGTCTCTGGCTCACAGACATTCAAGACCTGTGGGTTCAATTTATGACATTAAGGTGTAGCAAATAGAGTTCAAAACTCTACCCCCACAGTGGTTTCTTCTCTCAAGTTAGTCAAAGATTGTTCAAGGACAGTCAGATTTGCAAAATTCCCTGAGCCATTCCTTGTCCCAGGAAGTAGTTCTGCCAGAGGTGTTCAAAGGATTTTATTCAAACCTGTTTATGGTACCAAAACCCAAGGGGGGTGTTTGTCATAAACTGGACTTAAAATCCCCCAAACAAATAACTTCAAATTCCAGAATTCCCAAGGACAGCAATTGCCTTTCTGAGACAAGGGGAATACATGGCATCAGTAGACATCCAAGACTGCCTATCTGCATATTCCCATTTATCCAGCTGATTATTGCTTTCTGCATCTTACAACGAAAGACCATCACTTCCAGTTTATCACGCTGCCCTTTGACTTGTCCCCTGATCCCAGAGTTTTCACAAATGTCCAAATTACCCTTTTCCAGAACTCAGGGTTTCCAGGTCACAGGTTATATAGACCACCTTCTCCTGAAGGGCACACTTCCACACTTTCCAGCAGTTGGTGAAAGTCTACAGGACAATTCGGATGCTCCAGAATTTCAGTTGGGTAATCGATTTTTTTTGAAATATTAGCTCTACAGACTTTTCTTCATTTTGAAATACTTGGTCTGGTCCTGGACACATTCCAAGCAAACGTTTTTCTTCCAGAAAAAAAAAAAAGTGCCCACCCTTCAGAATTGAGGCACAGAGACCTCCCACAATGAGATTCTCCATGAGAGTTTAAGGCCTCATGGTAGCCTCCTTTGATGTTATACCATGTGCCTAATTTGATTCAAGACCTCTCCAACACAACATCTTGTCGACCTGGAACAAGCATTCTCTTTCTCTCGACCTACCCATGCTCCCACCCATCCAAGGAAAAAATTCCCTAACTTGGTGGATCTCTAGCCCAGCATTAACAATATAATTTCCTATCACTGGAAAGTGAGAACATCTACCAGTCTTTAAGGCTGGGAAGCAGTGTTCCAGTCCCTCATGGTCCAGGGAACATGGTCCTATGTGGAGGCTAAGCTCCCCATCGGTTTCCTGGAGCTCAAAGCAGTTCTGATGGCTCTGCAACACGTCCCTTCTTCCAATCAAGATGCAGTCAAACAATGCCATAGCTGTGGCTTACATCAACTGCCAAGTGAGCAGAAGGAGCCTTGAAGTAAGCACATCAAATAATCTCATGGTCAGAAACTTGCTCTCCAGTGACCTCTTCGGTCCACATCTCAGGAGCAAATAACTGGAAAACAGGCTACCTCAGTCACTACAACTTAGATCAAGGGAAATGGGCCCTTCAATCTACATCTTCAATCTGACATGTCAGAAATGGGGGACCCCGATTCAACTACAAACCACCTCTGTATGTAGCCAGGACAACATATCCTCTAGAGTTGGCCTCAGATGCCTTAATAATTCCCTGTTCTCATTCAGTTAAGGATAAGCTATGTAAATTCTGCTTCATCTGCTCAAAAAGATAGAGCAAGAGAGTAAAATGGCAATTGTTATTGCACCAAACTGGCCCAGAAAAAACCTGGTACACAAACATACTCAGCACCAAAAACCTCCCAATTGAAATGAATGGAAACGCATCCAAACAATTTACCCACGGTTGCATTGTGGTGCGTTTTTTTTCGAGTCACGTCCTTTTTTCATAGGTGCAAAATGTGTCAAAAACACATGCATTTTTACCGTGATTTTGCAGTAGATCCAGTGTCAAAGTAGCCTTACTCTGTGCTTCACATTCGGGCCTTCTTACGATCAGTTCTTGACCAGAACTTGGACTTAATCACTTTAAAAAAAGAACGAACAAGGATAAAACTTGTCCTTTAAAAGACCTCCAAGCTTTGCTATCCCTTGTGGAAACATTTCTTCAAGGTGTATCTTGCATTAAGCCACCCTTTGAATGCATCAGGGATATTCCATTAGATGACCTCTCCTGCAAAGTAGCCTTTTTGGTTGTAATCCCGTCTGTCAGATGTGTTTTGAATTGGCGGCTTTCTCGAGCCGTTCCTCATACTTCACAAAGAAAAGGTAGTTTTACACCAAAGACCATCCTTTCTTTCCAAGTTGGTATCGGTCTTCCACCTCAATAAAGGACATAGTCCTACTATTCTTAAGCCCTGCTCCAAAGCATCCAAAGGAAATCTCTCTATTGCCTGGATGTAGTCAGAGCCATTAGTGTCTACCTCAGAGCTACAGCTTCCTATGGATTCCTATATGTCCTCTCCTCAGGACCTTGCAAAGGACACCTGCTTTCAAGTCCACCATCACAAGATGTATAGGGAATTTGATTACTTGAGCTTACACTCTCAAGAACAAATCTCCTCCTGCACTTTTACCTGTTTCCATCAAATGAGTGTAAGTTTCCTGGGCATTTCAGCATCAGGCCTCTGTAGCCTAGCTGTGTAAGGCTGCCACTTTGTCCTCTGTTCTTGCTTTTTCAAAGTTTTAACCAGGTGGACATCCAGTTTTCTGCAGATGCAGCTTTTGTTCTTGCAGCTGTACTCTGAGCTGGGTATTTTTTATACTTGTTGTTGTTGGGCCTGATGGAACAGTTCTGTTTGCATAGTTGCTGTCAAACCTTCTGGTTCATTGCATGGGAAAAACCCAGGGTGTATGAATATTTTGCCTGCATCCTGTACTGCATAATTAGGATAAGATACATTTTGACTTGCCTTTAAATTCCATATCTTGGAGTACAGTATAGGACACAGGCTGCCCTCCCTTCTATTTCTTGGGTACTCTGCATTGCTTGACACAAATCTGAGTGGGGCAGGGTTATAGGAGAGGCATTCAGTGGATATATCCTCGTAAGCTTGCCAATGTCCAGTCACCTGAAGGTACGAACCTATAACGCAGGGTCTATGAATATTTTTCCTGTGTCTTGTACTTAACTCCAAGATACAGAATTTACAGGACAGTCAAAATAATACATACACATCCACTACTTAATGGCCCTCTAATTTTTTTTTTTTTTCTTCAATCTTTTCTTAAGGTTTTTCTGCCACTTTGTAACATCTCCATGAACTCCTGGTCCTCACCTTTTCCCACCTCTCTCCCGTTTGTTTGAAACAAGCAGTGCACGTTTGTTGCGGTCATGTGTGCTGCTCTGTGCACATTACACATCCAGTGGTCTGTAGTCCCTTGTCCATATAGAGGGACCATGGAGAAAGAATTTATGCGCCCTCAAACAGAAAATGAAAGGAGGCTAAGAGCAATAAATGTTAAGTCGAGTTAAGAATACATACTTGGCTAGAATATATATTTTTTAAGCCAGAGTTTAGTGTCAATTTAAGTATGACTTGGTATGCGAGTTTGAATGGTTATTCTCACTGATGATCACAGTAGAAAAGTGGGTACATTAATTTTTAACCATACTTACTTTGCGTATGTAACATTATTCTAGTCTCAGTGTGTTATGTGCAGCAAGTTTTGAAAATATATTTTAATAATCTTTTGAACCATATGTTTTTATTTTTAAGAAGAGAACATAAAATATAGAAGTTGTACATCATGTTGGAAATCTAGTAAGGCACATAAGCAGCAGATGTGACAAATACAAATTGTCATACTAAGATGCAACATGACATTCAGATGTTTGCCATTAAGGTACAATAGAAAAATTACCTAGAGTTCCTACAGCACTATGAGTTCGATCGATGCCTAGAAGCATGCAAATAAAAAATGAGGGGTTATATATATATATATATATATATATATATATATATATATATATATAATATCAAGAATGCCTATATTGCCATAGCAATAAAGAAGGGCATAGGGGATAGTAGGTAGAATCCAAACATAGCAAGTATCAACATGCAAAGATGTTGATTTGAGCCATATAGTTTTAAATATTTTATCCCCCCATTCTTTATAAGTTACCATCATTACAAGAAGACCATAAGATGAGCAGTTCAACCAGTTTTATCAACAATCATAATATAAAGGCCCTTCTGTTAGATGTAACTAAAGGGATTGCTTCATATTGGTTTACATATTACAAAACTATTTATGAAAGGTTTACATTTGCTGAACAGAGCCTAGAACTGTGGCCCTCTAGCTGTTGTGGAACTACATGTCCAGTGAGGGATTGCAAGACTGACAGTTACAAGTATGACTCGCAGAAGCATGATGGAAAGACTGACAGTTACTCGCAGAGTCATGATGGGACTTCAGCAACAGCTAGTGGGCCACAGTTACCCAACCTTGCTTTAGACTAAGATGCTAAAAAATTATTTTTCATAGTAAAAATTTGAAAGAAACTAATTTGTGACTAGAGATGAGTTCAGACGTGTTCATGTCCTACCCTGAGATATCCCAACAGGAAGCTGTTGCTGCACACCGCCAATCATAATCTGGCAAGGCATTCCCTGCTGCCATGCGTATACAAGGTGGGTTTGGACTAAGATCCAAACACGCCTGAGCTAATCTCTTGGTGACGTATATTATTAAATTGATGTGTATTTGCTTGGAATTCTCAGAGTGTTGTGTAAAATTGTGAGTCTTAACCACAGATCTAACTAATTGCACTATTTATTCCAACCAGAGTTCATCCAGAGCTGCTCAAGTACCTTCTCCATGTGTTGCTAGGTGAGTTTCATTTTTTATGCATCAAAATCTAAATAAACAAATTGCCAAATGATGCAGTAAAGGAAGTTAAATAATATTTTTCATTCTTAAGTAATGTTGGTACTGTCATGTTCACACTTTTAATTCCTTGCATTATGAGTCAGTCACACATGTCCATATTGCCCATTGCCCGCAGTGTAGACAGGTAGAAACCTCATTTGTTCCTGTGTGGCTAGATCACACCTGTGTGCTGCTATACCATGATTTTTTTTATCCAGTTATGGACATTGGGCATGCTTAATGAAAATACACAGGGTATGCATAGTATGCCTTGAACTTCTCTCCTTCTGCCCCCCCCCCCCCCCCATTTGCCAGCAATTTCATGCTGTCAAAATGACAACATTGTTGACAATATATCTCCTGATCAGGGTGTATAAAGACTGCTCAAGCGAGATGAAGTACAAAGCAAAATTATTTTTAATTTGATCTGCAGATGAAAGAAACAGAGTAAATACAAAAGGGTGACTTTCATCTGCAGATTGTTTCACTTAAATATGTAAATCCAACATTCCATGTTCCTGATATGTATCTGCTGTACCATGTACTTGTATGAAAAAGTATCCTATTCTTTTGTATTGCTTCCTTTGTGTGAAATCCCTGGTGTTCCTGCCAGTCCCTCTGCTTTCCTATTAAATACTTACCATGCTTAGCTGGAGAACATACCATGGTCAGTTCTCTAGCTGTGCTGGGAACTGAGCCTGCTCTCCTCTGACAACCCCCCTCATCCTCTCAGGATTAGGGGGTGTAAGGCCTCAGACCTTCCCATGTAGACCAGCTGTTTTTTTCTGTTTGGATTCATTCCTCTCTGGCAGTTTCCATCCTACAGCATTGGGTTGATTCTCTGTGCTCTTTGGTCTCCCTTTAGTTGTAATGGCAGATTCCCTTATTTGTCTAACATCATCCATTTTAGATTCAGGCGTTGATCATTCAGGCAGCACCTGGGCTGCAGGCAGTCCTCGGTCGTCCTAGTGAGGCCTTTAGTGTTTATTCCCCACCCTTCATTTGTATTACTTTTGTACATCCCAGTTGTATAAAAATTCATGTGTGCCTCAATGGATGAGAAAGATTAATGTTTTTTTTTTAACTACTGGATTCTACGGTATAAAGTATGATGGGTTCATATTTAACCACTTCATACATATATATATATATATATATATATATATATATATATATATATATATATATATATATATATATAATTTTTTTTTTTTTTTGCTTTGTTAAAAAAAAAGTCCTATAAAACTGCAAATAATTGTGAAAAAAAACACTGATTTAATTTGTGAATATTTTTGCAATGTTTTTTTTCACTACCATAATTGTCATTTTAAACTGAGCAAATTATAGAATACAATTTTATACTTTTGTTTCTATAGCAACACTAACACTTATCAAAGTTTTAGTTTTGTGTCATGTATTTTGTCTATGGATTGAACAAAAGATAACACAATTTTAGCAAGGCAATATCACATAAAAAATAAAAAAAAAAGTGCGTGTTGATTTATGTTAAGTAATGACAAAGTTATCACGGAACAAACAGGCTCCTAGCAGAAATGTAAATGTTTCTCTGCTCCACAGGGGGTGTACAAATGGTTACATAGCACAGGTAGCATTTTTTGCATTTATAATTTAAATAGCGCATTATAAATTGTTGGTAAATACAAATTTTTAAACATTTACACCAAAATCTCTATACTAGATATTTCAAAGCACTTAAACGCATCTTTAAACATAAATGCCTGCAGTAATGTACGTCAAGAACGCATGTACATTTGAGTGGTCGCTACCTCTCCATTTATACTGTTCCCGTTACCCACCTACTATGATAGAATTAATCTTACATTTAGTTATTATACTCTGATTATTTCAGGACTGCTGCAACTCATTAATTATGTATTGTAAAACAATAAGCAAACTACCTGTGGAATTACTAAATACCAGAAAAAGGGAAATCCCTAGTTTCTTTGAATGGTCATCTGTGATCTTGAATTGAAGTAATAGGGACACAAAAGCTGATACAGCAGTGTATAGCAGATATCAGAAGATATCTTCACAAGTATGGGAATTATTGTCCTTAGCAGTTCTTGCATAGAAAGCACAGTAGCCCACATGTGAATATGCAGTCAATTTGCTAAGCTTACTAGAGCAATGATTTTGTATTTGCACGGCTGTGAGCACAATGCAAATCATATAAAGGTTGCATTAAATTTTGCTGTTTTAATGAAATGGAGAATGATAAGGTTTCCCAGATGATGACTGAGCTCACACCACACCATCCTATTTGCAGCATCACTGATGTATTATCAGGAATGCTTCAGCCTTGCAGCACGTTTTCTAGTATAAGGTGGAAGAGTGGTGAATATTGCCTACCCCACTTCTGTTTCAGCTATTTTAAAAGTCCTGTATCAGACATTTCCACCTTCAACTCTGCCTGCACTGTGAGCTGTCTGTGGTCATGCTTGGTGTGAAATGATCACACAAGTGAATGGTAGCAGCAGTACACCAGGTCCTAAAATTATTATACATCTCTTTCCACTAATTTCTGTTCATTAGTTGGATGGAGATCACATTTTATATTGTGTTTTTAAGCTGTTGATTAATGAACTTTACAATTTCTCATTTGTGCTAGAAGTTCTGGTACACCATCTCCACTGTCCCCAACACCTTCTCCTGTCAGCTCTGGAGGGTCTCAGCCAGGTCCAACAACTGTGGGAGCCAGAGCAACTCGGTTACCATCCCTCAGATGATACATCACATAGCATCATCTTATGTCAACATCACCTCCTACATCCTCTATGCTTATGACATATGGGAACAAGCTGATTTGCTAGCAAAGAAAAACAAAGGTATGGTTTGTCATGGATTTTTATGTATCTATGTACATAGATGACAAAATGTCCATGGTTACATATGTTACAACTTTGTACTGCACTGTAGTTCTCTTGTAAACATGTGGAATTATAAATCAGAAACATGTTTTAAAATGGAAGTTATAGACCTTTTAATGGTTTTCACTGAAAACCTATGTACACATGAACAGAATAATATATGAAATTTTATCCAAGCATGTGAAAAGATTTTTTGCAATTCTTTTTAATGTATATTTGGGTAACAATATTTGCTCATGACAGTGGTTCGACCATACAATTCCTTAATTTTCATTTGTATCATTTTATTTAGCCTGAATAGACAGTCTTGTTTTGAGATAAAGTCAATGTGCTTATCTCAACAGTTATGCAGTATGCAAGTTCATCAAATTTTTAGGTGAAACACACTCTTAAAGGATATGTCCACCTTTGGGAACATGTTCCACCCATTTTTAGGGTGGAACATGTAACATGTTCCCGCTTCTGCAGCCGATCCCTAATCCCCGCACTCCCTGCGACATCAAGTCGGGGATCTTCTCCTCGTACCTGCTGTCACTATTTGAAAAGAGGGTAGTCGAGTGGGGCTCCACCCACGCGGCCACTTCATTAATTCACAGAGTTCAGTGTATGAATGAACTACAAAAACCTACAGCCTAGTGCTCAAATAACTACCAGGGTGCTGTTGAACACTCTAGGTTGCTCATTGATGCTTCCCGTAACTGCCTGCCTGTATGAAGTACGAGCAGACCGCTTACACTGACAGTCTGCATGAGCCCTGCATTGCACCCATAATCTGCTGAATGCTTTACAGGCTCCCAATAAAAAATAATAAAGGCACCTACAAAAATGAACTACTCCTTTAAGCCGGTCATAGATGGATCGAATCTCAGCCGGTTCAGCAGGGACCAGTCAAGAGTCGATCCATATGTGTGCAGGCTAGTTGTACCAAAGTTGATCCATTGATCAACTTCAGTACAATCAGCCTGTCGGATTTTTTGCATATATTGCATATAGTTTTTGCTATAGCTGCCTGCAGTAATCATTGTGTTCTGTCGGCAGGGAAGTCTCCCCACCGGCAGAGCACGATAGCAGTGCGGGAGGGATTCTCCCATCAACACTGAATGTGTTGGTGGGGTAATTGAGCGATTTACTTTCCTGCAACCTGCGTGACTTTGAATCCTCTATGGCTTTCCTTAGAATGCTAATTGCAAAGAAACTGTATTCACAGTATTACATGTTGATTGCTTAACCACTTGCTACCAGAGCCATTTTTTTCTATTTTTGCGCACACCTTAAAATGCACATTTTTGAACTGAAGATCAGTTACCACCCCCCCCCCCCCCCCCCCCCCCCCCCCCCCCCCCCACACACACACACAGTGTATATTTTTTTTAAAGCAAAGATGCAGGAGAATAAAATGGTGGTAGTTGACATTCTTGATGCCACATGATATTACGCACATGTTAATCACACACAAATGTTCACTTAAAAAGTACATACGTACATTTTTTTTGCATGCATACACAATATATTACCCAATTTTGTAAAATATACATGAGGTTGTGATGAGTAAATTGATACTCAACATATCGAGCCTTAGAACTGCACACACTCATAAAATGGTGGAAAACTTTGGTACCCAAAATTATCCATAGGCATTAGTTTCAAAGCCTTTACAAGCTATCGGTTTAGAATAAACTGTTAATAATGGCACTAGAATAGAATTACTGCTCTCATTCCGACATTCATAGTAAGATGTAACGTGTAGTACAATTGTTTCCATATATAGGGGCAAATACATGTTTTTAATTTTTTTATTTGTTTTACTTTATGGCGATCACAAAAGGGCTCCAAATAGCTCCCTATGTGATAGCATACTGTAATGATAGGTTCTCATTGCTGAAATATTAGGGGTCTTTTAGACACCTTATGTCTCCCCTGCCCTCTACTGAAGCTAATGGAGCACAGATTGGGCCCTTTCGTTTCTTTCCCGGCCACAGTGGCTGGGAAAAGTGACAGCTGAACCCAGATATGACATAATACATAATGGGGAGATTAGCGAATGGATATTTCTCCCTCCATTCAAGCTGCTGACACCCACCATGCTGGTTTTGGTTCTGCAGGAGGGACATAGGAGCCCAGGATACATTGCGGGGCAGTCTGGTAGGGGACCTTTGGCGGGTTGTGGGTGCCCTTTTCTCACTGAACAAATGCAAACACACTGCTGGCTAGTATTCTGGTATCACAAGTGATAACAGAAACATGCTGTAGTGTCTGCCATTCACAATGGGATATCTGCCTTGCTATTGTTCACTTGATATAAAGGCAATTTCACTTTGCATGTCTAGTATGTGGCCTGGAAATCCTCCTTGTGATAATATGCAGAGATTGCAGACTAGTTGTTTTCATGTTCAAGTGTAATCCACTACATGAGTCAGTGAACATTCTATGTTTATAAGTAGCTTTAGTTTGTGTCTCTCAGTTTGCATTAATCTGTGCAATGCCATATTGGGGGAATTTACTAAAACTACAGCGCTCAGAATCTGGTGCAGCTGTGCGTGGTAGGCAATCGGCTTCGAACTTCAACTTGTTCAATTAAGCTTTGACAATAAAACCTGGAAGCTGATTGGTTTCTCTGCAGAGCTTCACCAGATTTTGCACGCTCCAGTTTTAGTAAATGTCCCCTGTTTTCTCATAAATTCACAGAATATAGGATGATGATGCAATTTGTTAACAATTTCTTGTGGCCTTTTTTCTGTTTCAGATTTTTTTGCAGACCTCAGTTCAGTGGTTTGCCCCCTTGCTCTAAACAGCACTATGACTGAACTGGTACACTACACTAGGCAGGGTTTACAGTGGCTGAGACTGGAATCAAATGTGACTTAAACTGTGCTTGCGGACACTTACTCTTTGAACTGATTTGCACTTTGTACGCCTAGAGTTTGCAATTGGACCCGTGAGTTCTAGGAGCAAGAAGAAAAATAAAAATTGGCTCCTGGGATCTGGTATGACTGGAATCCTGTTGAACCCTGCCTAGATCGCCAGGTGTGAAGATGAAGGAGACTTCACAATCAAATGAGGCCTTTTAGAAGTTCAGTGTGGTGTTGGAGAGGTCTGTCAATTTAGTGGTCTTTAAACATTTCTAATCAAAACCAGCATGGAAGAGGTTCATGATTTTTAGGTATCAGGCTGTGCACAAGCTACCGAGCAGTCCTTATCTGATCAACCAACTGAAAGTTTACTAGGCTTGTTACATAAGTTGACCCTTTCCTGCCATCAAAAATGTCTGAAAATACGTAGAAGGGATATGTCCAAAACCACACTGATTGTACACATATTGCCATAATGGGGAATAACATATGACCTTACAAGTTTTGCAGATTTCTTTTGTTAATTTCCGAATTCAGAACTTTGTGCCTTAATTTAACTTTCAGGTGTCCAATAGTTCCTGTCATATGTTATTATTCCGCAGAAACGTAAAGGAAAATGGCAAATTCTGTCTCATGAGAAACACTGCATCTTATATCTGGTGGTTCTGATACAGTCTAAGCAATTGTGATACAGAAAGCATTCTGTAATAACCATAAAGGGATGAGTGAAATTTGTTTTGGGTGTTCAGTTGAACGCTGCCATCAGTTACGATTGATAAGCCTCTAAAATCACTGCCACACTTCCATACAAGGATTAGCCGTTCCGTTCTGTGGCTTTTCATGATTTGTTAATCCCTCGCTTGGGATTTTCCTGTTATATGGAAGGTTTCCTTCATCATACAAACGGTGCCATTTTTACCACATATTTTTTAATATTGCCTGATTTGGCATCCCCTGAATCCATGTTTCTTCACTGGTAAGCTGTGAATCAGTTTTTAACAAAAATTAACTATCATTCCCTACTAAAGCACACTAAAAATGTATTCCTATCTTTCTTAATTACAAACACACAGTCATGAATTCCAGAAGACTGTTATTTCAACATATAGCACTTACTACAATAGCAGAACATACAGTCTTCCAGTTGACTGCTTTAAGTTCTAAAAATGATCCCATGTAAACCTTTTCCAACTAGTGATACTTCTTGGGCTAGTAAAGTGTCATAATCTGTACACCATGCTCTAAATACATCACATTTAGAGTGAACATATATGATGGTTGTTTTGTGACATTTGTTTAGATATGACCTCAATACCATTTTTTTGAGGTTTAACTTGATTGGTTTCTAGGTAAGTTGAAGATGAATTCAAAATAATTGTATGTAAAGTGTTTGGCTTCACTGCTCAATACATAGTGCTTAGATGTAAATATTTTTGTTCCAAGAATATGATCATATTTGGCAAGGGCAGCTATTCTTTTAAGCTACATAGGCTTTAAGGTGAACCTGTGGCCAGACTATGGGCACTAAATGTATGCATGTGATATTCTTAACACAGTACATGAGCTTTAAAATATGCCATCACTGACCTATGTAGCTGCAGGTACTGTAAAACAAGCCAGTCTCAAGGATCACAACAGAGACCAAATTTGAAGTCAGGTTGCAGTGAGTTACAACTAGCAGTACCTGATGTTTACATTAAAAGGCTAGAAGGCCTGTTGAAAAACAAGGGGTGATGAGCTATGACTTAGGATTTAGGATGCATTACTCCACAGTGCAGCTACAGAGGTAAGTCGAGACTTGTTTAAGATCCCATTCACACCTGAGTTATTTTGCTCAATTCTCGACACGAGACGAGAGTTCTGTGAATAAATGAACTACAACTACCATCAGCTACTGCGGCCGACAGTTTGTAGTTTTCAGTGGACTACAGGGGCGCTGCTGAGTACTCTCATAGTTCATTGATTGTTCCTGCAATTCACTAACTAACTGCCTGCTTGTACGGGTGGTTATAAGCAGACAGTGAACTTAGTCTGTAGGACCCTGGCATTGCACCTGTGGCATGCTGACCGTGGGTGCAATGCTTTACATGCTCCAGTGTAAAAAAAATAAAAAATAAATGCATTTTTTTTGTGTTTACCTGCAAAATGATGTGCATTTATTATTTTTTTTTTTTTTAAAGGTGAACTTATCCTTTAAAGATATAAGGTGCCAAAAATTGACAATTCTGCTCCTGCACTAGAATTTACGCAAAAATCGCAAGAATGAATGTTCAAAAAGACTGTCTCCACATCTACCTTCCTATGCTCATGCCTATTGTGAATGAGGCCTAAAAGCTCAATTACTGCTTAATATTATGTAAATGTTTGATTGTCCATAATCTGGCTCATAGGTTCACTTTAAATAAAAAGAACCTAGGATATGCAGTTGTCTATCAGCATGAATAAATGCAGGCAATGGTTTGCTTTGCAAAATAAAGGGACCCTGTCAGAGTAGGAATAGGAAGCTGTCATTTGCTGACTTTAACGGTGCTGACTCCTGGGCTGTCTGTCTGTCTCTCACCCTGTCTTCACCACCTGATTCACTTACATGGAACAGATGTTTAGGCAGTTAGGTGCATGCATTTCCTCTACGTCAGTGACTCAGCAAGTAGTGAATCAAGAATAAGAATTGGTACCAGAACATTTACATGCAAAAACAAGTCTGCAACATCAGTTGGCATCATGATTCAGGGCTACTTGTTATTTTTAAAAAGGGTATGTCTAACAAATAGTACAGTATATTATGTGGCGTCACCATTGACTTTTTCATGTGAGCAGCAATATCCAAAGAAGTGATCCCACTACCACTGTATAGCAGCAGCCGTGAAGGAGAACCCAATGAACACCAGTTAGTGAAACATGTTGTAACAGGGACGGTAATAAGTTGTGCAAAGCAGCTGGGTGTTCAATTATTTCAATATAATCAGATTCAGTATCTACAGTTGTATGAGCCATTATCTAAACATACATACCAACACAGTAATACTCACAATCACAACAGACACATGGATGGGCATTAGATGGCTTATGTCGGGAATATGGGAGCCTCTATTGCTAATTTGTATTTTAATGTGTTTTGGGCTATGGTCCTCATACTTGTACGCTTTGGCAAGTGTGATCCAGACACGCATGTACATATCAAGTATCCTCATGTACATATCGAGTATCTGATATACATATGTTTGCTCTAAGTCCAAGACAAAATAGGGAATCAAGAAAAAAGACTTGACCACAAGAAAGCACCTTCACTTTTTGAGTCAGAGACCTGACACAACTGTGCAGTCAGTAATGTGTTGGGACACATCATAAACACTTGTTCTAGATTAGTGACTCATACAGTAGCAAAGCAAGAAAAAGGACGATGTCCTCTCTCAAAAACAAGTCCGCTTTCATTTGTCTGTCTTAACCGCTTTCCTTAAAATCACTATTCTCACCCAACACCCACCCAATCACCCAACTCAGTGCAGCTTTACTTGTGAAGTATAGTTGGACCTAATGTCTAAAAATAAAAAAGCATAGTTTCATGAGTGGCCTCACAACATGACTGCAATATGCAATCGGTTCTACAAAAAATGTTATTGTTAACATATAGTCATGAGGATCCAAAGATGCATTTCATGTCATCCTTATAATTGGTCCTGGTAATTTAGGGCTGAACAAATTAGGAGAAGGGAGCCAGATCTGTGCAGTAAAAATGAACGCCTAGCTTAGTCTAGTACATTATTGGCCAGGCCTGGCCATGCATCAATAAAGGAGTATGAGGGTTGTTACTGAATGGACTGTACACTGCTGTGCTGTGGAAGACCGGAAATAAACATATACCTTTCTTTTTTACAGTAATATTATAATGCTTATTATTTTTAATAATCAGACCTGACAGATTATAAATCATACATTAGTGATATTTAAAACCACTGATCCTGTAGACAATAGGTTCAATTTACTAAAACTATAACACAGGTGTTTGGTATTTTCCAGTATATTTGGCTCCCATTGCTGAAACTAATGGTCAGTCACAGCTGAAAAAATGATTGTTATGGCTAATACCAATTGTTACACCTGACTAAACTGAGCATGTAGTGTGAATTTGATCATCTTTATGGGGTTGCGCATCAGTAAATACTATACCTGCTGCAACAGACAAGCATAGAGCTTCATCCAGAGGTAAAATAAACACAATTAACATGTCGAAGTAAAAACCCTATAGATAGATATTTATGTAGTTTGCCAGCTAGGTTATGTTAAATAACCCGCTTATAGAACATCAGACTAGTTAATCTGTAGTATACCAGTTTAATTATAGTAAAATCAACTCTGTGTATATTCACTTTTTAGGAAAAACCCTAATTAACTTATTACTTAGGACTCGTTCACACCATCGTACAGAGACGTCAGTTTTTCTGAATGCTTTCTGCAAGGGCACAACAAAATCAATGGTTCTCTATGTGCCCTGTTCACACCACAACACTAGTATCACGTGTGATTTCTGCGCAGAAATCTGCAATGTGTATAAAATTCATTCATTGAAGCGCGCATGAAAACTAATGTAAACTGATGTCTCTGCAAGTGAAATCTGTGCATCAGTTTTCCTGCACGTATGGTGTGAACAAGACCTTAAAAATGTTGAAGACTGTTGGTTAGACAGGTAATTATAAAACTACATGAAGAAAAGATTCTAAAGGTTCATTGTTATCCCCCCCCCTTTCCCCCCCAAGAAAAATGTCTATACTTAACTACTGCGTGCAGGGGTTTTACACAGAGCAGCCTAGATCCTGCTCTTCTCAGGTCTACCGCAGGATCTCCTGGCTCCTCCCTTCTGTCGGGTGTCCCCACAGCAAGCAGTTTGTTATGGGGGCACCTGATGCTCCGCATGTCCATTCAAACACAGAGCCACCCCCTCTCATTGGCTGACTGGCT